AAAATTGCAATTGTGCAAGACTTTGTAAGAAAACTAAAAGATCATACCTATTGTCTGGTAGTAAGGGGGCCTTATCCTTTTCGGGTAATGGAGATGGCATTATGCCACTGGCAAAGCACCAATCTGACAATGAAAAATATTTGAAAAGCATTAATCCTTACATTTCAGAATGTCTTAAGCCACTAATTTGCTTTCATTTGTTCAAGTTTTCTTCAATTTTGTGCGAAGAACTTCCAGGATATACTTACCTTGTTGTAAAAATTGGGTATCGCCCAGCTCACGTAATTTCTCCAACAAATCCCAAAGTTGGGTACTTTTCTGAAAAAAAATACATCTACACATATAGTGTATATTAAAGAAATAATGTATATAGTAAACAATAATATTTGGTAATGACATATATTAAATAGTATGGGTCCTTTATATAGATATAAATTTTTTACTACTTTTTATGAAAAGGGCATGGAGAGATATTTACGAATTTCAAACACTCATTTATCTACGAAAGAATATAGCAATTCAAAACAAGCTATACATCATAACTCTAATAAATCAATACTACGCCAGGATTACCTGATGAACATATCTCCGCCGTAACTGGTTCTCTGCTTCTGCTTTTGCCAATAAATCTTTATAGTTCTCCGTCCTAAATGAGAATGATGGCATATCAATTAGTACTGATAAAGCGTCAATAAAGCCCTTTTTCGTCCTGAATTTCTATGAAAATAAACATATACATTCCTGCTTTTGAAACTTTCAGACACGAGTCAAGCATTGCAAAATAAGTTACCATGAAGGTTACGACCTGACCCATTCTTACGTACGGTTACGGTAATACAGTAAACTTGATGGAACGGAACGCTCAATACTCACATGGTTTGATTGGCAGTTTGTTGATGACCCTTTGCCACTACAGACTTCATCATACCCCGACGATAGCCGCGCGGATTATTCCCTGCCGGATTCCGTACTAGCTCAACAATCTGAAATATGACTTTTTTGAATTTCAAACATAAATTAGCATTTTATGTGTATTTAGTGAGGGAAAAACTCGGAGGTCGCTGACCTTAGGTACAAATACTAGACATAGTGTGAGCGTTGTGGAAAATATAATGAAGAAACATGCGAGGGCAAAAGCTTCATTGACACGTTCCTGGAAGAAAAACTCCTATTTTTAAAAATGCTTTCTAGAATTTACGACAACTCAACTGCGAGAAGTAAATTTGAATAGATAATTAATTTTTAAATACCTGTAGAATTACACTAATTGATAGTCCCAAGGTGCTCATCACTACAACATTGTAGACACTCATTCCTATATATTTACTGTCATTTAAAGCTGGAACATTGACATGTCGCGTCTCCCAAGCCAAGAAGCAGCCGAGAATCTGCAAGAAGAAAAATTTGTGAAAATTACTAATTTCGTTTTTTTCTGAGTAGTATGCTGAGTTACATGAAGAGCTTACCATAAGTACTCCTTTAATCGCGTATAGTATCGCCTGGAATACTGCAGAATATGTTGAGTGGCATTTTTCAATTTCAGGCACTATTACTTTGTCGTCAAAATGCTGAACATTTCATAAACTGTTGAAAGAATTCTAAAAAAAGTTAATGACCTTCTGAACCCACTATTTGCTGTAACTCCATGATGGACATGCGAAATGGTGAGATAAGTGCCCAAAGGGTTAACACGAGAACATCCACAAATAGGAGCCCGGCCAAGATTAGTAGCAATTTGGAATCCTTAAGTGTACTTTTCATTTGAGAGACAAATATATAAGGGAAAAAACCCAGAAGTTGATCACAAGATTTGTTTACGACAAGTTAGGCGAAGTAATAATGATAGTTATAAATTTTGTAGTGAGGCATCCTCCTTTAAAATCTTTA